CCCCCCCCCCTTCAAAGTAAAAAAGTGCCTTGATGTGTTGATTGGGTGTTGATTTAAGGTTAGCAGTGACAGTGACAGTGCAAAGTGATGAGTGGACAGTGCCAAAGAATCAGTGCACTGCAGATCTGAAGCAACTGCAGAGACAGTGCAAACTGCTGTGTGTTGCCATCCGAATGCTCGATAGACTCGTGCCGTACATGACTGACGACAGCCAGTCGACTCGTGACAATGGCCTTCTGACTCTTTTCGTCGACTTTTTGCTCATCTATCATGCTATTGTTAGTTTGTTTTGTTGTGTTGTTGGTTTTGTTTAAATGATTATTATGTTCGCTGCTGCTGCAGAGAATTACAAGTGAATTGGCCGTATCCGTGCTGAAAACAGCGAGTGTGCAAAAATTTGAAGAGTGCGCGTTGTTTTTATCGAATGAATATAAAGCGATGATAATGCGAATACGATCGATGAATTGCGAAGCGAGTGATAAGGTGAGTGTTTGTTTATTTGTTGTTTTATTGTCTGCCTTTTGACATGCGAATTAATTTTATGTTTCAATTGATTTGTCAGGCACTGAGCGCGATTCTGACCGTGTGGGCGAATATAAGTGCCAAATCAAAGGATTTATTCAAAGTGGCCAGTTTTCATCAGGTTTTGATCATGGTTCTTATTGAGATTTGTGATCATATTGAGTGATTGGTGTTGTGATTGTTGTTGTTTTGAGATGCTGAAAGAAGCGAGTGAGGTGGAGATGAGCACGGTCGAGATGCCAGCAATCAACGCCAACGTGAACATACAAGACCCGTGGCCGGATCTCTACGAACTCTGTTCTATAATGCAGAAAACGATGTTGCTCAATCGATGTGATTTGTCGCGAATCATTCAACTTTTAATTGAACATCTCTTGAATCCCCTTTTGTCACTCAGTAATAACAATGAACAAACAACTTCATCCCTTTTATAGTTGATTTGCTGATAGTAATGAGGAAGGATGTCCATTATTCCACTGATATTTCCTTTGTTTTGTTAACTTTGTTACGTCATTGTTATTATTATTATTATTATTATTATTATTATTATTACTGCTGTCATTATATTATGAATATTGTTATTGTTATGATTTTTTAAAATTTGTATCGCATTGTTCATTATTATTGTCATTTTATTACACAAGTTGAATTGCTTCTCTTTTTTAGTTGACTCGATACGAATAGTGTCATTATAAATTTGAATAATTTCATTATGAAATGGCCGTCTTTAAATTAGTTGACATAGTTGTTTGTGTTATTTGTTGTTTGATTTATGGCTTGAGATTTTATCATTTATCATAATTCATCTGTCGTGTAGAGTCTGTGGAGAATCTTAATTGTTTAGCGGTTTTGTTTGTTTGGTTTGGATGGTTGTCATTACTGTTATTATGCTTTGGCGTGATCTGATTGAATAAAATCAAATGAGGTGATGCTGGCTGCTGGGTGGTGATGGCTGGCTGGCTTTGTTGCAGGTGGATGGGATGATGGCTCAGGTGAGTTGAAGGAATGAACGAATACGAGTTGAGTTTTGCTCGCTTGCAGAGTATCTGAGTTGAGTTCGAGCTGATTTATAGGCGCAACGATGCATGGGTAATCTATAGGAGTGTATCGAACTGGAATGGTACGTGCATATTCGTTGTTTGATGCGAGATTTTGTGCGACCTGCTGCTTTTGTTGTGACATCTGAAGAGTGTTCATCACATAAACGGTCGAATCGTAGCCACTAAGTTCCCGTTAGTAGCGTGAGTGGGTGAATCGCATGCCGAAATGAACGCAGCTTTTGAAATTCACTCGGGGAGCGTATAGCAGCAATTCATTATATTTTCCATCAGTTTCCGCAATTGTTGTTCACCAAAGAAGAGTGTCATTATATTCTTGGCAAGGTGCCAAGCAACGTGGGTGGGAGCGGTCTTGTTGAATTTTAGTTGCTATTGTTATAGAACGGATATGGAAAGAATGATCAAATTCTATGAGATTTATCAAAGAAATAGTGGATTAATTAATTTTTTTACATAATTCATCATGTTCAACGTTAATTTCTTTCGAGTTCATCTTCAAAATGAATTGATTGCATTCATAAGATCATTTTCAGTTTCTATGTTTTTGTGCAATTGCAAGCCCGAGTTTAGAACAAAAAGCAATCAGAATCATGTGTGTCTCCGCAGCAAAAAGCCGATGCAGATTCTACAGATGGATAATGAATTAATTCTATTCACTATCATATTCTACATCAATACATCACGTTCGCAATCAGCTTTCTATGCGTCCTTCAATAACGACTATCTGAATAAATGCGAAGTTTTTATCACATCAAACAAAAATAGAATCTAAGCATCAATGGTTCATCATGACTGACGTGCATATAATTTGTCTGTTCACTGATCTGTCAATCGGTTGAAGGAATTGATAAGAAAAGCAGACGCTGATAAGCAAAAGGCATACATAACTATATGATATAGTTAACAAAATTGATAACAACCATCACTGAGCAGTACCTGACATGATATGAACAAATACAAAATAAGTATGATAACGAGGGTGATATGAATGCTTCAAAGTAAAACAAACACGCCTACACCAGTAAGATCGTAAGTTGGTTTATCTGTTTTGAATGATCATCGTGTAATTTTTGAGAGATCAGTCGTCTTCAATCGACCAATTTTGTTTCGATTCAGTGAATGATTCATAACGGTTAAGTGACGAAAATCTTGGTGGAATTCATTTGTAATCAACATTGGTGTGATACATTACTATTTGGTCGAGCAGTTATAAGAGAGAAGTAAGTCTACTTAAACTTCTGAATGTGTACTCGTTATCAATGTTCAAAGTATCGTGTTGTTGTTCTGTTTGAAGTGGATGATTATTCGATTCTGGCTGCATCTTGATGAGTATCCGTGTGCGAGTTCACTTTATTGCAGACAATTGACGACTGAAAAGTACAGCACATTGTATTCTTGTGAAAGCATTTCATTGCACAACTCAAATTGATACTTTTTGTGGAACAATAATAAAGTGGATCCATTCGATCGGCAATCGTCGTTGTGCATTCATTCTCTGACGAGATCAGTGCTCGAACCAAATTGGTAACGCATTCATCTCTATCTGCATCAATCAACCATCAGCACCATCAGCAGCAGCAGCAGGTATATGAAATCCGAAACTCGTCATAATGACTGCAAGCAGTGTGCATGATGCACGACAAGAAAATCATTATTATAATTATCACAACACAGAACAAGAGCAGCAGCAAAACTTGATTGAAGTGTCGAAAAACTGGAACTTGCATAGAACTGGTAAAAGTACGACGAACGGACGACACTTTGATTCGATGAATAATTCCAATATGACGACAACTAGCACGATGTCGTCGTCGTCGTCTGTTACGCAATCGAGCACCACCACACTCGTGCAAACAACAACTCTCATCACTAATTATCACTCTGCTGATAACACCAATAATCCTCTGAGCAATCTCTACAAATCACTATCCACCTTAAGACTCTACTCGTACATCTTGTCTGTGTTATCGTTATTATTATCATCGTCTTCCGTTTGCGTATCGTCAACGAAATTCAAGTGCTCATTAAGAAATACTAACAAACAACCAAGTTCTTCGATAAGCAACAATAAAACGACGGGTTTAGTCACCGGTAAAGTCACCTTATTTGTGTGCGCTATTCTGAGTGCAATTTGGCTTATCGAGTCGATCGATCTAGCCACTCAAATGCCTAAATTGGATAATTTTGTTGGCTTCACAAGTCCACAATTTGCTGCAGTTGAAAAGATCTTTCGGTTAGTTGAATTCGTCAATGTCTTTGCCGTTGATAAACATTTTTTGATGTTCCTAGTAGTGATGGTGATTAAAACAGGTATTATCAATAGCAATACTAAGAGTAGTAGTCGAAAGGAACAGATCACTATTGTTAATGAATGCGTTAATAGATCTAGATTAGTAG